TGGGGAGTACTGCGGAGAGGTGGTGGTGGACCCCGAGGACGAGAAGGCCATCGAGATGTTCATGAACAAGAACCCGCCGCTGAGGTGAGGAGGCAGCAGAAGGGGTCAGGCCAGGGCAGGGGCTGCTGGTTCCCAGCATGGCCCCAACTTATGCCTCTTCTGCGCTGACCACAGGCGCACGCTGGCGGACATCATCATGGAGAAGATCACGGAGAAGCAGACAGAGGTGGAGACGGCACTGTCAGAGATATCGGGCTGCCCAATGCCTCAGCTCGATCCCCGCGTTCTGGAGGTCTACAGGGGCGTCAGAGAGGTAAGGTTCTGCCCCGGGGCCCAGCGAATGCCGCGCTGAGCCTCACAGCCACTGCCTCTGTGCCTGCTCTCCCTCAGAGAGGCTGTCTCCATCCTCGCTCTGCACAGGCATTAACTGCAGTTTGTGTGATATCAGTCACCAAATGGCCCAGAATGTTTCTCAGTGACAATCTCCTGAGCACCATGCTCGGGATGGTCCTGGGACGGTCCTTTCTTAGGACCTGGGATGCTCCTTTCTTACCAGAGATGCTAAGGGAAGGAACAACTTTCTGATGGTCATGAGACAAGTCCTGCAGCCCTGCTGTCAGTTCCTGTATGTCACAGCCTGGCCTGTGTCCATGTCTTTTAAGGTGCTGTCCAAATACAGGAGTGGGAAACTCCCCAAGGCATTTAAAATCATTCCTGCCTTGTCCAACTGGGAGCAGATCCTCTACATCACAGAGCCAGAGACGTGGACAGCAGCTGCCATGTACCAGGCCACCAGGTAAGATCATCTCTGGGAGCTGCTCACATGGGATTTTTTGCTTTTTTTTCCCATAACTGCAGCCAGATTTACAAAATACCAACCTGTTCCCTACTTGACCTCCATTCTCCACACCTCACTTTGTGCATTGCTTTTACCAGGATATTTTCATCCAACCTGAAAGAGAGGATGGCCCAGCGGTTCTACAACCTGGTGCTGCTGCCACGGGTCAGGGATGACATTGCCGAGTATAAGCGCCTCAATTTTCACCTCTACATGGCTTTGAAGAAGGCTCTGTTCAAGCCGGCAGCCTGGTTCAAAGGTAGAGACTCCCTGCAGGGCTGCTGCTCCTACCTGGGAGCTTCTCCCAATCTGCAGCAGCTGGGAAGCTCAGCAGGGGCACGTGTTGTGCACCACTGCCCAGTGTGACAGGACGCTGTCCCCTGTGTGGCGTGGCCCTGTGGGCTCCACGGGGAGGAGAAGATGTGAAAGAGGTGCAGGGAGTTCCCCCTCAGTGGACCCCCAGGGGTCCGTTTGCAGTGTTCAGGGTGGCAGGGTGCTGAGTGCCATAGGCTTACACAAGTGCTGCCGGTGAGTGCTGGCAGGTGTTTGGGTTCTTTTGGAGGTTGATGGCAGGTTACGAACTGTCTCGGGTCTGACCTTGGTCTTGTGTGGCAAGCTGAGGTGGTTTGGTGCTAGTTGCATGGCAGGGAGACGGTGTGACCCCTGTGACAGCAGCTGCAGGAGGAGCTGTTATTTCCTGGGGTCAGATGTGTCCTGGGATAGGAGAAGGGGCTTAATCACAGGGTTCTGCCTGCTGCGATGAAGATAGATGGTGCCTGACTCTTCCCCCTCCACAGGGATCCTCATTCCCCTGTGCGAGTCGGGGACCTGCACGCTGCGAGAGGCCATCATCATCGGCAGCATCCTCACCAAGTGCTCCATCCCCGTCCTCCACTCCAGGTAACGCGCTGGGAGGCTGTGGGGTGCCGAGGTTCTCCTTTAGGGACACCGGTGCCACGCCTTGGATCTGTCCCTCGGCCTCTCTGGCATCTTGGAGGTGGGGGGGTTCGCTCAGCTCCCTCTGGGGTTGAGATTCAAGGCTCAGTGTCAGGTTTGTTATCTTTGTGTCTGAGTGCCTGGTGTCCCGTGGCTCCTGCCTGCCCTGCCCTCACCTCGGTGCTCCTTCCATCCCTACAGCGCGGCCATGCTGAAGATTGCCGAGATGCAGTACAGCGGCGCCAACAGCATCTTCCTCCGGCTGCTCATCGACAAGAAGTACGCCCTGCCCTTCCGCGTGGTGGATGCCCTCGTCTTCCACTTCCTGGCCTTCCGCACAGACCAGCGGGTCCTGCCCGCACCAAAGCTTCCTGGCCTTCGCCCAGCGCTACAAGGAGGACCTCTCCTCGGAGCAGAAGGAGGCTTTGCTCGAACTGCTCAAGTTCCACAGCCATCCGCAGATCTCGCCGGAGATCCGGAGGGAGCTGGTGAACTCCAAGACGCGGGATGTGGAGGGGCAGCAGCCCGTGGCCATGGAATGAGCAGAGAGAGGCAGGGAAAAGCTGCAGCCTGAGCTGCTGCCGGGACACTGCTGCATGCAGCTGGGAGTCCCGTGTGTGAGCGAAGCTGTGGGGAGGTGTCCAGGAGCATCCATCCCGGGATCCTGCTGCTCCAAGCGGGCGCTGGGGGAAAGCTGTGCCCGCAGAGCTGGCCTATGCTACCTGCACTGCTTGTCACAGGGCAGGGCAGCCACTGACCCACCCAGGACCCTGGTGCCACCAGCACCCGGGAGGGTTTGGCTTGTTCCTGTATTGGGAAATAAAACCCGAGCCGTGTCCGTCAGTCCGGGGTGGTTTTGCCCCGCAGCCGCACCTCTCTGGTCGCATTCCTGT